TTCTTAACATGCCCTACTACAAGGATTTTTCCTATATTTTCCCTTCTCCTTCAGAGCTCTTCATGTGGATATTGAAACTTCTTAGATGCAGTGAACCATTGTCAGTGCCCCTCTACCTTCTGACTTGTTCTTTACTGGGAACTGTATTCAGATGGTAAAGAGGTTTGCCATTGCGGGGTTAGGAATGAGTTACACTACTTTGGCTGCCTCATCAAGCCACCCTTCTACTTTGGAAACACAATCCCTTGAATAGCAGGCAGGAAAAAGGAGAGAGCAAAAGTCCCTTTCTCAGTTGACAGAATTATTGTGTTTCCCAGCGCAAAGCAATCCTTTGTCAGAAAACCAGGCCACTATTAATTTGTTTGCAGACCTGGTTTCTAGGACTTTCAGATAGTGAAGTTATCTGAGGTTTCTCATCAGAGGTTAAATTAATTTTAGTAGGATGTGCTCTTGTCTTTCTGTGTCTTCATACGTATTTTCCTGAGAAGATGGGAAAGGCTGCACTGGAAGAGTCTACGTAGATGCCATGTTAAGCTAAGAGTCCAAGTTGTATTTAATTAATAATTCATTTACCATTTTCTGTTAATCAAAAATATGTAATACAATAAAAAATATAGCAACTGCAAATAGCCATTTTTGAAAGCTGAGATTTGCTGCTCTTTGTTAGTCTGTACAATGTTATACTGTAAAAAAATACAAAATTCCGTTATAATTTTGGAGTAATCACTCCAATACATTTCTTAGTCCTCCATTATTACATTCAAAGCTCTAGCACTTTGCTCTTCTCTCTGGTCCTCTCCTGGGCATCAGTGGTCTAAATATGGGACACATCTTATTGAAGGAACCAGGAAGCAATGCCTCCAGATTCTCTGAGCCAGTCTTTGGAATAATAGATCAAAATAGCTGCCAGGACCAGTCTTGGGAGAAATGATAGTGACTTCCAAAGAAGCTTTCGTTGTCTTCTTCCTGGCAACTATTTCTGGCTAAGTTTAAGATCTAATGATACAACTCTGACCTCAGGGAATCCATCTCATTGGAAAGTAACTAGTTTCTACAGCTGCAGAACTAAGATTGCTATTAACTACTTGATTATTATTTCAGTAATCTCTAATGAATCATAGAGCTTAAATGATGTTCACCTTTTTTTTTTTAAAGCATGAGTTGGTTTAAATACTATCTGAAAGTTACACTATTTTTAAACTCTTGAAAGTTCACATCACCTGAACTCTTTTAGCACTGAAATTCATTAAATTGGTTTATGGAATAATTGTCTGTATTGTATATTATAGCCTGTCCTTCTATAGGTAAGAGTTTAATGCCAGATTTTGATAATATTTATTTAAATTTTTTAAAGCATGAACCTGTGTGTGTGTGTGTGTGTGTGTGTGTGTGTGTGTGTGTGTGTTTTCAAATACCATCCAAATCCGAGACTCCTAGTTATTGGGGAAAATGTGAATCTTGTTGCCCCAATTAGGTCATTACTCTTAAACTGAATTTCCAGGGAACATCTGCAAACTATTGTATAAAGGTGTGCTTCCTCTAATAACTAATAATGACAATCTTTTCCCCGTTTATGGAAAAAGAATTTTTGGTTTAGCTTTTTCAACCCTTTGGCATGGATTACAAACTGTTTGAATAATAGAAAATAAACATGACAAAAACCAAGCAGTAGTAAATCATGTTTAGTTCACTCACTTGTTTTTCATTGTCACATGCTTGTGATATCTACCTTCCCTGTCTTTAATATAACTATGCTTTATATTAATCTAGATTTTCTACTGGAATTAAATTAAGATTTTTCATAGTGTTTCACAAAAGCTCTTCCATCTGAAATGCCACTGGACTTACCATCTTATAAGATACTAGAGGGAAAGAACCTCTGTCATCATCATCATTTCACATATGATCAGAGCCATTGCAGAGTTTTGAATAGAAAGTAACAGGAGGAAGAATTGGATTACAATATTTTTGGTGTTTGGGGAGTTGTCTGGAAGGAGTGGGAGGGGGTGAGAATAGAATTAAGAGTTAGGGTAGCACGTAACCACTGTAAACAGTATTGTCAGTTGTGTTTATATTATGTGGTTGATTAAAACTCCAGCATGATATGAAAACAGTAAGGTGGATTCCTCTCTTAGTTTGACCAGTTAATTTTGAATTAAAATTTATATAAAAATCAGATTGTTTCAAACATTGTTCCTCATAACTAACAAACACAGAAGAAAGTTATCTAAAAAGTACTCTGAGTTTCAAATCATCACTTTTCTAGGTAGGAACAGGTAGTTATAGACCGACTACGTTCTCAGAAAACACATCATTGCTGTAATTGTGCATTCATTCATTCCCAGGAGGTCTGTGTCACTATGCCCATTTTATAGATTCAGAAATTCAGAGTGGTGAAGTGGCTTCACAGGTGACATGGACTTTAAGTGTTAAAACTAAACTTTGAACCCAAAAAAGTTGTTTCTAAAGCCCATGCTCTTTGAACCACACCACACTGAGCCCTCGTTTTTAAATTATTTAATTTTTTTAAATGACAAAAGTAATGTGTGCTTAAAACAAACAATACCTATGTCCATACATATGAGGCTTTTATTATTATACAAATATGTATACATATTTTACAAATATATATTTGTATTTTAAGAAGATGTGTCTAGCAGCAGTATGATTGATAGATGGGAAAGAGAGGGCATCTTGGAGGAAGAAAAGCTAGTTAGGACACTGTTTCAGTGATCCTGACAAGAAATGATAAGAGCTGGAACTAAGGTAGTGGCAGTGATAATAGAAAACTTAGAAAGGACAGACATGATAGTGAGAAAACCTGTAAGAGTTAGGAACTCATGGAAATGGGAAGGTCTGAGAGTTGGGGGAGCTAAGAATGACTTCCAGTTTTATCACCTTGGCAACATGGTGATGCCCCTGGTATGGATGGAGTGATGGAAAACGGAAGAAAACAGAATTGGGTGGAGGACTCAGGAATGAATTTGCTCTTGGCTATAGTAAAGTTTGTGATCCTTTAGAATATCCAAGTAGAGATGTCTGTTAATTGTACATAAACCTAGGGTTTAGCGTAGAGTTCCATGTTAGTGATGTAAATTTGGGAATCATAAGCTTGCTGACAGAGGTCAAAACCAGGGTACAGATGTCACCCAGAGAGATTATTTATATAAAGGGAGAGAATAAATGGCTGAGGGCAGAGCTGTAGACAACACGAGCATTTAAGGAGCAAAGAAGACTGAAAAGGAATAGTTAGAGAAGGGAGAAACCTGGGGAGTGTATCACTGAAGCCAAGAGAGGAGAATTTCAGAAGAGAAGGAAGAAGTTGCAGAAAGATCATCTAGTTGAAAACCAGGCATTTCCATAGATAACTTCTCCATTTATAAAATTAAAAGAAAAATAGAGTTTCATTGTATCAAAATATTCTTTTGAATTCTTTTAGTGGGTTTATAATGTATACATTAAGCAACTATCAGATATTTTAAAGCATAGATAATAAATATAAATAGCTATAGAATGTGGCAGGATATTACTAGCATGGCCCTTACTGACAAATTCTGGTTGATTTGACTTGATTTGTTTTATATTTAAGCTTGCCTGCCTGCCTACCTGCCTTCCTTCTTTCCTTCCTTCTCTCCCCCGCTTCCTCTCTGCCTGCGTCCTTTCCTCTTGTAATGTGATGAGCTTAGGATTGAGTAAAGAACATTAGGTGTCCTGGTTATATATGGGAAACCAAACTATAAGATGCAGATACCTCTAAGAGATTTATGAACCTTCCTTGGCTAGTTTACAAGGTGACTAAAGAAAATTTTAGATTAGTTTCTCTTCACTCAGTTCTACTCTAAAATATGATTCTAGGGGCCCCTACGTGGTGTAGTCAGTTAAGCAACCGACTCTTGGGTTCAGCTCGGGTCATGATCTTGGGTTGTGGGATCGAGCCCTGTCATGGGCTCCACGCTTAGCGCCATGGAGTTTGGGTTTCTCTCTCTCCCTCTGCCCTGCCCCCCCATCGCATGCACGCTCTCTCTCTCTCTCTCAAATAAATAAATCTTTAAAAAATATGATTCTCATATCATAACTATCCTTATAATCTTGGCCAGTAGTTTAGGAAGTAAACCTTATAAAAAGATCATAGTTACAGACCTCCAATTTCAGGGACATAACATAGCTGTTGCAATGACAACTAAAGGGAGAAGACTGGTCTGCCTTTCCTTGCTGGACAAAGAAATATACAGGACACTTGGCTGGGTGTTGAGGGGTAGGGAATGGACAAAGGGATATAAAATGAATACAGCCAGACATTTCTCCCTGGAATTTTGCAGGGAGATAACCAATAAAAATAATTATGTTACTCGATAGAAGTAAGAGTAGAAGGAGCTACACATTCAAAGAAGAGAATATAGCAGGTGGGAAAATCTGAAGGTGTTGGCATTTTAGTTGGTGAGTTTCAAATAGGGTTTGGAATGGAGCAAGGAACATTCTGTCTCAAGGGCTTACCATGACCAAAGGTATGGGCCCCAAACAAGTATTTGTTGAATATCAGAACAAATGGAATTGGATAGCATTTGTTTTTCCAATGACTTAATCAGTATAATATATGTATGTCTCCTGTGTGCCAGGCGCCGTGACAGGTGGGTGCTGGGAATACAAGCACGATGACCTTCATAGAGCTGTAGTCTGGTAGGAGAGACAGACAAAACCAACAAACTAATGAATATATAAATTCAAAGTGAGAAGGACTAGTAGGCTAGTGAAGAGAGCTGTTGGGCTGGGTAGTCAAGGAAGCCTCTTTGGAGAAACAAAATGGCATCTGAAACTGACCTTTGTAAGAACCACATTGAAATATTTACCCAGTTAGAAGCTTTTGTTGTTGTTGCTGTCCTAATACATTTAATTTGGCTAAATTACTTCCCCTTCAAACACAGCCTGTGAAATTTCTGTTTCCCATCAGTGTTTGTTTGACCCATTATTGTTAAGTTTACTGTGTCCTCTTTGTTTTGCAGAAACCAAAGCTGAAAGATTGGCATCCTCCTGGGGGTTTCATTCTGGGATTGTGGGCACTCATTATAATGGTTTTCTTCAAAACTTATGGAATCAAGCATATGAAGTTCATTTTCTAGACATGATGTGTGAAGAAGACGGCATGGAAGACTGCAACCTTGGATAAAATTTTATGTCATTATGCTTTTTAAAAAGTATATTGTTCTTGGGGCGCCTGGGTGGCTCAGTCAGTTAAGCGGCTGCCTTCGGCTCAGGTCATGGTCCCAACGTCCTGGGATTGAGTCCCACATCAGGCTCCCTACTCGGCGGGAAGCCTGCTTCTCCCTCTCCCACTCTCCCTGCTTGTGTTCCCTTTCTCGCTGTGTCTCTCTCTGTCAAATAAATAAATAAAATCTTTTAAAAAAAAACAAAAACATTGTTCTTGTGTGAATTGGGCAAAAAGTATAGGGAAACTAAATTTGAATGAACTATTGATTTTATAACTTAAAGATAAATAACTGTTAATGCAAATGCTAAGTGGCACTAACTATACTTGTTTTTTGTTGTGCGTGTTATTAAAAAGATTGGACAAAGATCCGAGTATATTTAATGGCTGTTTTTGAAAATAAAAATTTCCCCTAATCTTACCCCCTTTTCATTCAGAAAAGAAAAAAATGTGAAGATACCTAAGTTCTCACTAGCAGAGGTAATTTCTTGTCAGGATTTTTGTGTGTGTCCTCCTAGTCTTTTTTTTCAATGTACACATTTTTTTCCTAAATAGAGATCGTATAGAATATTTCACTCTGTAACTTTTCATTTTACAGTATGTTATCAACCCTTTCCCTCTTCTTGGACATTTTTCAGAACACACTGTGAATGGTTGCACAGTATCCATTTTATGAATGTACAGTAAGTCATTTAACACTCTTCTGTTGTTGGGCCTACTTACCTTGTTCTCAGAATCTTCCTTTGGTTGATTCTTCAGTGGGTTAGTATTTTACTCTCAGCCATTCATGGAATTCTGCAGCTTTGATTTTAAGTAAATATAAAAAAATGAGTTCCTTAACTTAGGGTACTGATAGTCTTTGGGACCTTATTTGCTGTCAGTTTGCCTGGAAAATATAAGACCTTTGAGAATTTCATATTATTGACTGCTCAAGAGAAACAGACCCCATCATTTTTCATTTCTAAGCATTCTGTGATCCTCAAGAATTGATTTCCTCCTCTTCAATTTCCATATTGAAAGAGACGTTGTTTCATTCTGTTTAAGGTAAACCTTGTCACTGTCTGGGTCTGTACTTTTCCTGAGATAATCCCATAGAGTGGATGACTGTCTGGAAAGGTCACACGTAGGACCCTGCCTTTTTGTTTGACTGATGCATCACTTAAGGCAGAAAAGACCTTTTTGCTCTCCAAGAAGATTTAAGAGTTCACATCTTCATCGCTGATTTCTTTTAGCTCATCAGCCATCTGCCTGTCTTTCTCATAACTGGCAATAGTATTGAGATTGTGTTTTGCCATCAGCCCCAGATATTGGTTTTTGTTGTTGTTGTTGTTGTTGTTTTGCATATAAGGGGGAAAAAACCATGGAAGTTGAGTATTCATGTTCCACAGGATACCTTTTAGTATTTTATCTGTTTTTTTCCCCAAGAATTTATGTGTTAATCTTTATTCATTACAAAGATCTGATTTATAATTAGAGGTAACATTAAGAAGACAACTCTTCCTCCACAATAAAACCTCCTAAAGTTAATATTCCTTAGGATTTGTTTTCCTTTTACCACTTAAAATATTGCCTTTTAATTACATGCAAAACGGTCATACACTTCACAGGCAGAGGATTAACTGTTAACTCTCAGGTTAGAACAAATGATATTAAGGCTTTTTGCTGGCTCTGAATCTTCATTTGAATTGATCTTTTTATTGGTGTACTCGATAAATTCAGATATTTTATCTGAATAAATGGAGAGGGATTCTTTTGTACATAGAGGGAAAAACAAACTTCCTCTTGACTAGCCAAATCATAGTAGCACTAAGAGACAAAAAAGGTTGACCAGAGCACCCAGCAAACATTTACACAAGGTCATGAACACTAGGGTAAGGCGGAGCTACTTAGCGTCAAAAGGAAATATGATTGATCTTGAGCCAAAGTAATTTAGTTTGAATATAATGAAATACACCCTGACGGTAAAGACCGCTGGAAAGTATAAGGCTTCCTCTCCAGAGGCTGTAGAAGGTGCCCTTCTTAGTTAAAACCAAACTGGGAAAAGTAATACTGGATATAATATACAGGATTAATTTTGCCCAGGCAGAGTTTCAAAGGGCAGTTATTTCTCTTTCTGTTTCATTATTGAATTTTCAGAATATAGTTAAAGCAGAAAGCTTAATCTATGTTAAATGTTCAGCTCGTAACCATAATTTTTTTACATAAAGTATATTCTGCTTTCAATAATAAGTAAATCCGCTGCATGTGGTAAGTGGGTAATATTGTAAGTGCAATTAAATAGTCCAGACTTCAAATTATACCAGAAAAGCGCGTCTTAAATATATTCTGGAGCCAGAAAGAGCTGAACAACGGAAAGGGGTTTTCTTCTTGCCTTTCCCCCAGTGTTGTTGTGAGGATCAGATGAGATAATGTTATGACTAAACACTTTGGAAATTGTTAATATATGGTGGTGCTATTTTCCTTATTTTGGCTTAGGAAGATACCAACAGGGAAGTTAATGATCCCACTGTCCCTTGTTCCGCTGCACTTGCTTACCGTTAAGTATAAGCTACTTAACGTGCTTCTTGTTCTCTTGGTGTTCTTTTTCTCCCCCTCCCGCCTTGGTGTCCTTTGGGGAGACGAGGAATATAGATAAATGGGTCCCAGCAGACATGGCTGACCTTTTAGGGGAGGGACGGGATATAATAATGCCATTTGGCAAAGGCAGCCTGCAGGAGAAAAACCAAACGATGTGGGTTTTAAAATTATGAAAGGCATTCGTTTACAGTTTATGAAAGGGAAATGCAGTTTGGATGCAAAGCTGATTAAATTGGATCAAGAAAAAGTGGAATTAAATACATAAAATAATGCATGCATTTATGGTTTCAATTTTTTTATATCCTCAGCTAGTTGAAAATGATGATTCCCACAACAAGCATAACTCAGCTTGTTTCTGCTTACTGAGTATTTTCTACTATGGTATATGTTGATAACATTTCTTCCATTATGTATGTTGTAGAGCAGAGTTACAGTTACTGTGGGAATCATAATTTGAAATTTTGACTCGTATGTTTCTGGAATCTTTACAACAAATGTTGCATTAACATACAACTTTTTCCATTGATTTTACCAAAATTTAAATCCATCTGTAGCAGTTTCTGTTTTAACTTGTGAAAGAAATATTTTATAAACATACCACAAGGTATGGCTACAAAATAATGAGATCAGCATCCATTTTGGCTCTCTGAAATCAGCCTCATTACTTCATTGTCGCATCTTTTACCCGAGGGCATTTCCCACAAAGGAAGTGTTCTCCGGGGTCGCTGTTCTGTTGCTGCCTGCCCTATCTGCGCATGTCCTTGCCTTGTAAATACGAAAGTCTTTCCATTCGTGGATGATACACCGTGGTGGTACCCAGTCTTTTATCTCTCAGTGCAAAAATGTTTCTGTTTTGGAAATGTGCTATGAAATGTTCAGTTTATTTCAACTGCATAGACCCTTGAATATGGGATTGATGTAGTTGAAGGTGTGACCAAGACACTGGTTATTAAAAATTCACTCAGTGCAAACATAGCAAGGTGGAAACAGTCATAAAAAGGAGCTTACTGTGTCCTGTGGGCTGCCTGCAGCCTCAGTGACCTCAGGGGACTTCCAGATCTGCCCGTGGCATAGCCAGTCGTAGGGCCTGCCGCCTGAGGCTCATGTGATGGGGCTCGTGCTCATGCGATCTGACCTTTTCCGACTGTGGAAGTGCCAGCTGCTGTCGGCGCTGGGGTTTCAGGGACAGCCGGCAGAGCAACGTAGGACACTTTCCTGGGGACATTAATTTGGGTCATCAAGGGAAAGCATGTCATACAGTGCCTAACACAGGAAAATTTCGCCCCTCTGTTCTTTGCTGGCCAGGACTCTACCTAGCCCTTGTTTTTAACCTCCACTCAGGCCCAGGGGTCACTCTAAAGAACATTAGCCATGGTGCTCCCAGACTCTCCTATTCCCTTCTCCTCACCGAGCCTTAGAGGTTCATGTGTTTAACTCCCTCTGTGGCCTATCCACTTCGTTCGAAATATACCTTTAGCATGATTGAATGGACAGTCTGTCCTCACCCCAGGCCCCTGATGTCTGGATAATAATCTAGTCCAAAGTTTTCTGATGTCCCCCCATCCCAGTGGGTACTGCATTTCCAGGAGACATCTTCTCCCCGCACTCCATGTTAGTTAGGACTTTTAAGTTTCAAATGATAGAAACCCTACTAGAACAAGTTTAGACCGAGAAGGGAATTTGATGGGGGGTCTGGCCTGAGCCTCACCAGGGACTGGAATGGCACCTGGATATTCTTCTCTGCATTTCTTCATCCCTCCCGGAGACTGGCTTTCTCACATGGCTGGTAACACCAGAGCCTTATGTCCTGTGCTTCAACACAAGAGAGAGGAACATTACTCTTCCATTATTTCTATTCTAAGAGGCTTGTAGAAGAACAGACTAATCTTGCCGGCATCAAGGGTCCACTTGGCCAGAAGGTCCGGGTCCTGTAAGCACATCAGGATGTGTGGTGGCATGCCCCCGGCTGTTAGGGCCTCTTCTAGAGAAGGGAGCGAGCACAGGAGCCGGGTAGTCACCCCTACTACTGCCTCCGACTAGCTTGCTATTCGTGCGTGGTCCATGGCTCGCTTGGAAACGCAGAGCGTCAGGCCCCACCTCAGACCCCCTGAACCAGAATCTGCATTTTAACAAGGTCCCCAAGGAAGTTCTCATGCAGATGAAAGTAGGAGAAACACTGATCTGCTTTATCTTCCTAGACTAAACAACCCAGCTTTATCCTAAAAGGAGACTGTAAAAGATAGCAAATACTTGTAAAACAGCCATGGGTAGCATATTTTATGGGTTTAATTGACTTCTCAGCATTATTATTGACTTCTAGTCAGACCTTTTAAGACAGCACCACTCTCATTTTTTTTTCTTTTGAGCCTTTTCCAAAATGTTTAATGGTTAAACAGGCATCTAATTAGCACTTACTGTATGTAGTATCTGCAAATTCTTTGACACTCCTCTCATCAAGAGGTGGAGCCTAAATGCCCCTCCCCTGAAAATGGCCGGGCCTTGGGGCCTAACTCAAATAAATAGTATGTGGCAGAACAATACTGCATGACTTACAAAGGCAGATCATACAACGTGATCTAGCATCTGCCTGACTCTTTTTCTCAGGACGCTCGCTGTTGGAGCCCAGCCACC